CATAAATGAACATTAATTTGATCATACAACTCATTCCTATGAAGAAATATTCAAACCCCTGTGTGTACTGATTTTGCACATGACATTGTTGTGCCGCAGTCCATTATGTCGGACAGATGGCGGTGTTTTCTGCTCGACTAGATTGATCTGTCTTCTAAATGCATGACTGTAACAAATGCTAGCGCGCGGGGGCGGGGGGTGGCGAGGGGGCGGGGTTGACATTGTTGCGTTCTCATCCGATATTTCCCACCAGTATAACGTCTCGGCTCCCGGCGATGCGCGACGGCACTGCGAACGTATCGAATGACAACATAATGGCGCGGCGGGGGAGATCTTGGAAGAAGAGCGCGGGTGACTTTTTAACCGCCATGGCAATCCTTGACTCCGGATCACGTATCCGCGAAAACGTTTTGTGTGAATGAAACTTCCATCGGTGGGTTCAGGGTGAGCTGTAACACGAGGAGCGGAGAAAGGGACCGGGTTTACAGTCATCGACGCGGTTGGCTGAGCGTCACTTGAAGGCAAGATCGGGTCGCTGGGGTGTGAGCAGGATATACATATGGTTGGTTAGTCCCCCCCCCCGACCCCCCTGAGGGGAGTCCTCCTCTTTCTGCCGAGAGACGCCTATGAGGCGCACCTTCAATGAATGGCCTATTTTGTCTTTTTTTTCATACATTGGGCATTATACGACGCAATCTACAATGCATCCACTAGATGGAGCTACGCTCGAGCAAACGCCAACAGAACGATCAGACGTCAGTCAAACGTATTTAATAAAGCAGCGACACAGTTCAATTAACATTCAGTACCAGCCAATGTGTATATGTGGAGCATTCCGCAGTTCCAAACTAGAAGCTGCGTCATGTTTGCTTAGTCGTGTCTTAGTTAGCGGCGACTAGCGTCAGGGATGAGTTTGAATTCACTTTGACGTCACACACCCTCGGGACATCACAACGCTCGGGACAATGGCGAGGGGCTCCGTTGTGCTGCTTAGTTTTCGGCGACGCGAAGCAAGGGCAGTGTAATATGTTGTGATAGACGCTCGAGGCTGAAGAACCTCCCAAAAAGGCTCGCGTGCACCGCAGCACATTTGGAACTAAGAGGCGCTCTGATGTCAGATATGTTGACTCACCCGTAGCTTAGCATGACAATGATAAACTGCTCCAGAAAAAAAAAGAATAAATCATGAGCTCTCATCGATGTAAAAATGAGCGTATACTGACTGACAACATAATTCCCAAATTGCACAAATCATGTCATTTCAGGCTTTTTTTTTTTGCAGAAATTTGAATATGGTCAAAATTCGAAAGACGCCTTTTTCTTTTTTTTTTTTTCCTCCAGAGCTGTTTCGTGTAATGGAGATCGATCATTTTTGCGATTGTAATCGTCGCTGTTGCTTCATAAGAAAAAAAAAAAACAGCAAAAAAGAATGCATCCATCTTACCCCTTCGTGACAATTTGAGTCGGGAACTGAGAAGGCCTTGAACTTCTCCATCAAGTTCATCCGTCACTTTCATTCAAATGCACTTTAAAAAAAAAGCCTTCGAGGTGAAAACTGCTTCTATAAGTGCACAGCGTTATTCTTGCTCTGCGGGATCAATGCGTGGGGCATCGTGGGGTTAATTTATTGGGCTCTTCTTGAGCCTCGGGGCACCTCATCCTGATAACCGAGCAGTGATAAAAAAAATTTTTAAAAAGTGCACCTGCCTGACCTTAAACGTTACCAGGCCCCCCGCAGGCCGCCACGTTTATGGACCTTGAAATAAGGTTAGTTTATTAGGCCGTCTCCTCTTTATATGCGATAATCAGCGAGTCCTCAAAGCAGCTGCGAAATTTCAATACGTGATCTTTGGAGTCGTAAACGGAAGCTTCGCATCCCGCGGCTGCGATCGGCCGTCCGTCTGCCCAGGAGTGATGTCGGAAACCACCGATTTTCTTATCCTTACTCCTAAATGTACCGGCGTCATATTATTTCCTTTAGTAAACACAAAGTCAAAAGTTATTTCAGTGTTTAATGACAAAGCATGCTCACATAATTTTTTTTTTTGTGATCTCAATAACATTTTCATTGCACGCAGTGGAAAATAAGAGCGTAATCAAATTCTTTATGATTATGTTTTTGGTTTTTTTAAAAATTGCTAAAAGCTAAAAAGAAAAAAAAATGATTGACAGGCCCTTTAATGTGCTAATTGGTGAAAAATTATATTAGTTTCCTACTTGTGATTGCTATTATCGCAAAATGATGGAAAATTACATTTCCATGGGGTTCTAATATTGGGAATTTAGGAAATATTCCAAAGCGCAAACTTTTCATGGGAATTGACTGGAAATTGAGAGGGATGCTGTACAATAGTATCACATTTCAGCATGAAAATAAATATTTTGTGTGGAACAACAATTACACTTTCCCCAACTACCGTATTTTCCGGATTACAAATCACAGTTTTGTTTTTCATAGTTTGGCTCTGGTTGTGATTTATACTCTGGAGCGCTTTATGTGTGAAATTATTAACACGTTATTATGTCATTTGACATGTTATTTTCACATTAAACCGCAAGAGGGCGCTCTAGGCCCGTGTTTATAAGTAACGTAGAAAAGGACGCGCCGCATCTTCTACCTGCGGAGTTGGCGGAGTCGTTTCAAAGTGACACAGAGGATGAAGACTTCATCGGATTTAGTGATTTGGAGGTTTGGTTTGCTAAACTTGTTAGCATGCTCTAGTTATCGGAATAACGCTTAATATGTTACGTGAACATACACAGGCACGTTCTCAGTTCGTTGTTTATGCGGCATGTCATGTTTGCATATCGTCCGCTTATTTGGTTTTGATTTTAAATTGCCTTTCAAGATGACATGTCTGTTCTTGGTTTTGGATTTTATCACAAAAATTGCCCCCAACTTCTACTCCGGAGCAATTTATAATCCGGAAAATACGGTATATTCATGTTCCCTATTCAGCCAAGCTTCAGTTTTGTAAATTTTTGGTTTATCCAATTTATTCCCATCGAAAGTTTCTCACTCTGAAACTTTCCAACCTTTCGCAACCCTAGTAGACACCCAGATGGTCCCAGAAATCACACACATGGCTCCTGGGCCCCACTTCGGCATGTGAGCGCACCGTCAGGTTCATGACCAGCCATCCGCTGGTGTCAGAATAGCGAGGCCACACGGGCAGACGTTGCTCCCGGCAGAAGGTCGTCTGACGGACCCGTGAGGACGGGTCGCCCGTGTGGGCGAAGGCGCCCCAGTAACACAGCATCCGATTGGACAGCAGCTTCTCGGCCGGCGTCATGGTGAAGTTGGCCACCGTGCCCGAGTTGAAGACGAACGGCAACTCGGCGCCATGGCAGACGTGCCGGTAGCAGAAGGTCAGACCGGACCAGACGCTGGTGTCCGATGTCACGTGGTCAAATACGTACAACCACACTCTGCTTCCTGCTTTTGTGCCAGCACGCGACGACCTCCGCGTTGGGCACAGGAAGGCGTAGTCTGTCAAGATCTGAAGGGAGGAGAAGATGACTTCAACTACTTCGGAACTTTCATTTTGTATTTGCTAGACTTCGCACCGGTATCATTGGATGTTTGCGCTGTTGTGGGATTAGAAGTAGTATTTTCCTGGCCATTCCTTACGGCATCCCTAATTTGCATCGGAGGTGCACTACGCCTGAGTATGCCGTGCTTGATATTGCGTAAACAGAAATAGGAGTCTGCTGGGGTCCATGCCAGGACATTGGCAGGTAAACTGCAAGATCTCCACTTGCGGATGCATGTGATGAGGGCAATTGGAGAGCCCCTTGCACCTCCAATCGTGTGTCTGATTGACCTTTCAGACTCCGCGTAACATTCAGAATCTTTCATCACAACTCTGATGTCACTATTTTTTTTTCATTTCAGCATCCCAGCGTGAAAGAGCAAAACGCTTGTAGCTTCCCTTAATTTGTGAGTCATCCTCTCAGGCCCGCTGTGTCTTTTTCGACAAAACCCAAATGATTACAGCTGCACTTAAACAATAAACGGAGGCGGTGCAGTCGGAACTATTTTTATGCTACCTAACAGAACCGGAACGCGTACCCACACGGCCGCGCGCCGAGATTCACAGACCTACGGAACCACCTACTATATTTGGTGATGAAGTTATCTAACCTCAAAGGTCACGTTTCTGTCAATATATGTGCACAGTATTTTTCTCCGCATCTGCGCTTGCTTTGTAAAATGTGTCCGACGTGCACTTATGTGTGTGTGTGTGCATGAGTGAGCGTGTCCTCCAGCTGTGGCCCCAACAGCCGGTGAATACTAAACGCGCGCAAGCGCATGACCTCTTGACCTCCCCATCCTCCCCGAAGTGCACACCTTGAACTTTCATCGACATCACAAAGGGAGGGGGGGGGAGTGTGTGTG